GAGCCCCGGGGCTCTGGCAGCGATTTAAAGGGCCCAGGGCTCCAGCCACTGCCAGGAGCCCCAGGCCCTTTTAAATCACCGGGTCTCAGGGCAGCTGCCCCTTTTGCCCCCGCCATCAGCAGCCCTGCTGTACCAGACCGGACCAGCTTACTTTCACCTCTGCATTGGAGCCACAGTGGCTTACGCCTGCTGTGACTTTGGCTTTTTGTTCCCACCCTCTCTCCCACGGGCAGCTCTTTCTCACTTGTTCTTCTCAGTAGGACTCTCCTGTCACACTCATGCAGCTTCCAGCAGGGATTTTTCTCTCTGACACCAGTAAGTGCTAAGGATTCAGATACCTGCCTGCCAGAGGGGCAGAGAGCCAGACAGATGTCTCCAGGAGAGCCGCTCTGCAGAACACGAGGAAAAAGCTTTATTGCAAAACACATTTCATTGGTGCCGTGTGTTACAGGTTAGCAGTAAGTGAGATGACCACTTTCGACATACAATCTGAGGCTAAGCTCTCTGTGTGCATGTCTGTGATTATGTTTGAGTCATTCCCAGGAGCTTGCTGTAGAAGAGACCGGAGGGGTGAAGATGAATGACGGAAAAGGAGCTGTAGAAAGTGCAATCCAGCTGCAAAGAGCCAAAATCAAACTATGGGAAGGGGATGAGTCTCTTCTTCCAGCTCTCAGGCTCTGATACCTTATATTTCCTCTATGTTCATGATGGGGAACTGTGCCCCTTGGGGCTCATCCCCTCCTTTCTCCTCACTCTGGAGTAGGCTCTGGATCCACTGAACCCTTCAGCCGGGCTGACTGTTACAGGATTTCATTTACACAGATCCACGTGGGCTCTAGGTGGGAGTAGCTGCTGTGCAGAGCTGGGAGCTCAATCTTTCTTCTGCTGGTTCTGATCCATTCCTAAACTAGGAAGGAGCTACAACAAAAAATCCAGAAACCACCAGTTAGTGGAGGAGACATGCTTGGTACTATTATCTTTTTGTTCATACGCATCATGGAGCATGTTTGTTCCCCTGCATGTGTGAGTTCCTGATCAGGGCGATAGAACAGGAGGGAAGGGATATCCACCATGTACACACTCACACACACACACACAGTCAGAGAGGGAGGGCTGCTGATTGAAACAAGACTGAGCATAATTAGATGGAATGTGTCAGCCCAAGGTGTGAAATTTGGCGGCTCAGTCTCACCAGGTCTGTCTGGCATCTCCCTGGAGTTCTTCCTGTACCGTATGTTCACCCAGATGATGCAAAGAAAGATGGGGACTTTCCAGATGACCAGGAGCAAGAAATGGACGTTGCTGAGCTGGGATCTATGGAGGAGAGAGTAAGTAGAAGCTGTGAAACCCTGTAGATATGACCTGACTGCTCCCAACTGAGCGTTCCCTAGCTGCTCTGCCTGAGAGTGACAGTATGAACAAGGAGAAGAGAGGGACACAGGCCGCAGCACCCTCCCTTGCTAGGATATCTCCCAATTAATCACACTAACTGCCTTTGACCCACAGGGGACAGTCATCCAGACAT